GAATATATACTTTTAACCAAGTCAACACTTTTATTTATTTTATACATGGTAATAGCACAGAACTAACTTATTATTATTATTATTATTATTATTATTATTATTATTATTACGTTTATTATTATGGTTATTATTAGTATACGGTACCATATTATTATTATTCTTTCACATGTTACCTTTTTTATTATACACGATACCAAAAATTATAAGGTATGAAATTACCTTATTTTTTTATTATACACGATACCTTAATTAATAATTAAAGTTCACATGTTACCTTTTTTATTACACGGTACCAAAAATTATAAGGTATGAAATTACCTCATTAATAATTAAAAATTAATTTTATAATTTATAATTTTAGTAAAAAAATATAAGGTATGAGAATATATTTTTTTAAACTAAGTCAACACTTTCTTTTATTTTATACATGGTAATAGAACAAAACTAACTTACCTTTATTTTTATTATTATTACGTTTATTATTATGATTAATATTATTTTACAGTACCATATTATTACTATATTATTATTACTCTTTCGTATGTTATCTTTTTTATTATACACGGTACCAAAAATTATAAGGTATGAAATTACCTTATTAATAATTAATAATTAATAATTGAAGTTTCACATGTTACCTTTTAATTACACGCTATCAAAAATTATAAGATACGAAATTACATTATTCATAATTAATTATTAATAATTAAAGTTTCACATGTTACCATTTTTATTATATTGTACACAGTACCAATAAAAATTATTACATTTATTATTATTATTATTAACTACAGTACCGTAATAATTAATAATTAATAATAACTATGAAAGGAAAGTGAGAGAGAAAATAATTATGAGGAATTTCATTTTCGTAAATACTACTCCATAATTGTATTACTACTGTACTCTATAAGATATATATACTTGATCTGAATATTTCGCATATAGTTTGATCGTGTAGATAATAAAAAATATAACCATGCTAGAGGTGCCCATGCAATGTACCTCAAGGTGCACACCAAAGTTATGCACTAACATTTGGATGGTTCACACTGACATAATATACTAGTGCGATAAAAAAATTTTGCATTAATATTTTGTACATGTGTGAATCATCAACCTAATAACATTACAGTGACACAAGATGAAAGTGCATAACTACGGTGTATAATTTGGGATGCAATTTTTAAGGTACATGTAACATATAATTCTAAAAAATAAAATTGAACGTGGACAAAGTAAGTAGTAATCACGTCTAGCTGGTCTCAATCTCAATATACTCTAGAATCGTAATAATGTGCCTAAGTACCTAATTAATACAATGTTTTTTTGAAGATTAATACTCCCTCCGTCCGTAAATATTCTTCCCACTTTCCTTTTTGGTTCGTCCGGAAATATTCTTCCCATTTCCTTTTTTAGTATACTTTTTAAGGATAAATATCAATAATACTCTTCTATTTTATCACAAATCTACTTTTTAAGTACTTTTTTAATAATAAAAAGAGATTTAAAAGCTTATAGTATGTGCATTTTTGAAATTTTGCATTTTTTTTACTATTTCTTAATAAGCGTGCCAAGTCAACACGGGAAGAATATTTCCGGACGGAGGGAGTACGTTGTTTGTATTAAAAAAATCATATAAAAGGGCGATACAAATACTGTTAGGCCCCGTTTGGTACACGGAATTCAAATTATGGAATTGGAATTGAGGACTTCAATTCCAATTCTGGTGTTTGGTAGCACAAAAATTATTTAGATTTGGAATTGATAGTGTAAAAAATGAATTGGAATTGGTGAATTCAATTCTATGGAATTGAATCTCATGGAATTCTAATTCCAATTCAATTCCAATTCGATCAATTCTGTGTACCAAACGGACCCTTATGGGATTTTCGACAATTCACATGTGCCCTTGCTTTCAATCCTTAATCCTTTGGTCTTGGATCGTACCCGCATGGACCCAACCAGAAAAAGTTATACCTCAATGGGGTCTCCATTTCACTTGAAAAAAGTACTCCGTAATTAAATTGAATTATACTCTCTCCGTCCTTAAATAAACTTTCCTTATTGACTTTTTGGGGAATTAAGGGAGGGATATTTTGGTGTTAACTTTCCAAAAATACATGTGATAGATAAAAGTAAGATGTGATGGGTAGATTATTAGTAAAAAAGGTATGATGTGATAGGTAGGGTATGAAAAAGTAAGGAGTAAAAGTGGTTTTTTAAGAGAAAAGAGAAGTTTTTGTGGGGACAAAGAAAAAACGAAAGGGGAAGTTTATTTAGGGACGGAGGGAGTATAATCTATTTTTCGCAATTGCCAATTAAGGATTTGAAACCTGAGACCTGACTAATCCTCTTTGATATTGTTCTCTCGAACAGTTGAGCTACAACCTTAGGCATACATGCATGGTTCCAAATGAGCATATATAATTATATACTCCCTCCGTCTCCCAGTTTTTGTCCACTTTCATTTTTACAAATCATCCAATGCACTTCTTTAATCCATTTTATCTTGTAATTTGTATATTAAGAAATTATATAAGTTATATATTAATAATCTATATGTTAAGACAAATCAAACAAGATCACACATGACTATATTTAGGCTTACACATTGAGATAATTTGATGAGTCAAAGTGCTTAGATGAACAGTTCCAAAAGTCAAAAGAGGACAAAAACTGGGGGACGGAGGGAGTATTAGAAGTAGTCCTATGTTTCGGTTGTATGTATTAAGATTTTTATTTAAAATGAAAATAAGAACTTTTATTATTGGTCGGATTTTTGTTCGTACGATATTTTTTAATACTCCCCCTTTTTTAAAATGTTTTTTTAGTTTCGACAATTGTTTTTTACTTTATCAAAATTTAAGAATTTTGACCTTAATATTTAAAAAAAAGAGTTATGACGTGAATTTAATATCCTTAAATTCTTATTTTCCAAACACTACTTAATTAAAATCTGGTTAATTAAACTCCACCTATTAAAAAAGTAATGACAAATTATAACATCTCAAGTTCTCAATCTTTATACTCCGTGTCATTTTCCTAAGTCTGTGAAAAAAGAATGAGAAAAAATATATTGAGATGAAGAAAATATGTTTTGATCTTATTCAAATAATTTCCGCTTATAAAATGACATAGATAAATAGTTAAATACTTATGTGGTCCTTGGATCAATACTTAATTTCTGGACTTGCATATAAACATCATAAAAAATTATGTCCTTGGATCAATACTTAATTTATGGACTTGCATATAAACATATTTTTATGTACATCGATCTACTATATACTACTCTCTCCATCTTAAAAAATATTTCATGTTTTGATGATTTTTTGTCACACTATGACATTCTTTAATCATAAATTAAAAATATACTTGATAATAAATTAATTAATTAATGTTATAAAAATTTGACATATCCAAACTATATCATAATTTGACCTCAGTTATATTGAATTTAGATTATAATTAAATATATTTTTTTATAATTTTTTGTCAGAGAGTGTTACAGTTTGAGAAAAAATGTCAAATCAAGAAAGATTTTTTTGGGACGCAAGTGGTATTATATACTCCACTCCTAAACATTTATAAACTAATTTTAATAATGTGCATGCTTTGAGTTTGAGTGCGTAATAATAATGATGATGATGATGATGATGATGATGATGATGATGATGATGATGATGATGATGATGATGATGATAATGATAATAATAATAATAATAATGCATGTGTTTATTTTTTAACTTTTTACATCGATCTCATTATTATCCTTTCAATGGTTGCAATGTTATCCGCGATAAAATGAAAAAATTCTTTTAGCAAAAAAATCCGCATTATGCCATTATTAAATGTATATACATCAAGACGATTAAAAAAATATCATAATGTACTTGTGTTAAGTATATGCAAAAAATAAATATGATGTAAAATGAGTATTCTTCAATGAGAAATTTACCTAAATAGGACTAAAATATAATGACTTTCCCAAAATAGGACCATATGTTTTTATTTCCCAATGTAGGTCATTATCAAGTAGTCATTATTCAAGTAAATGTCCATCATTAATGGACATTATTCTTCCCACTAGGTCATTATTAAGTCCTATTTAGAGAATAAAAAAGTTTAAGTCCTACATTGGGAAAGTCGTTATGTTTTAGTCCTATTTAGTGCAAATTTTACTTCTTCTTCAATTAACTTATAATTAATGAGCATATATACCTGTACGATAAATATTTAGGAGTATATATTAGGATGTACTCCCTCCGTCCCATTTTATAACGTCTGTTTCGGTTTACGATGTTTGACTGAAGTTATTTTCAAATCATTTTATATGACAAATGGTATAGAGTTAAAAAATAAAAATTACATATCAAAATAATACATCAAAAGATCTACAAAACTAGTAGTGACAACAATATTTTAATTTATCAAATTACTAACGAAAATAGAGAAAGAAAGTGAATGAAGTTTGACTCTGTGAATAGTGAACATGCATTATAATTTGGGACGGAGGAAGTACTCGATAACTTTACTATCACGGATTCTCGATAACTTTAATTTATTTGTACGTTTTCATTGATCATTTGACAAAATAAAATATTTATTATGTCACCTCTTGCTTTAATTTGTAAAATCTTTGATATATTATTTTTAACAGCAAGGATCGTTTGACCTTGGAATTTCGGGTCATATTATGACCCAGACACCTATGGTACTCTGTTCGTAAAATTGATGATTCTTACTTCCTTCTAAACCCTACCCCTGCCCTTATCTTCATTTCGCCGATTGGCTACAATAATACTATAGCCAATCGGCGAAATGGAGATGAGGGCAGGGGTGTTGTGGTGGGGTGGGGAGCAGGGTATCAAAATCCAATTTATCAATTTTCAGTGACTATTTCAATGAATATGAGGGGATCCTCGAGAATGGGGCTCGTCCTTTTTGTGTAAGGAAGTGTCAAGTGTGTATAAATACTTGGCCAGCATAAGGGGGTTAGAGACAGGCATCTTATTATGTTTTCTCTCACTTTCAAATAATTTTAGCTTCCACATTTCTTCTTATTCTCTCTCTCCTTTCCCTTCTTATTCCTCCTCCTCCCCCTCCGCTGGTTCTGGCTGAGTGGCGGTCGGCGGCCGTTCAAAAATGTAAGTTTTAATAACTCCGGCAAAATCTCAAACGTGTAGTTGTATGGTCAAGAAAAATTACTTCAAAAGAACGAGTAAAACTAAAACCCATGATTTTGGCTGATTAATTAACTCGATATATATGAACGGATGCAGGAACAAGAGAACCATTAAAAACGGTGTAATAATGATGGAGAGAGGGGACCCACGCGGCGGCGACTCCGTCCCTGCTGCGGCGGCGGCGGCGGCCTTGTTCTCATCCACCGATCATCTCTCTTCACAGTTCCCTAAGCAAACCAAAGTTTTTATGCCATCATCGTCTCAAAACCCTCCCTACAGGTAATTATAATTATCCTTTTTTTACTTTCATTCTTTTCTTGTTTATTTGTCTTAAATTATTACTCTCTCCTCTTCCTCAATACGGAGTATATACGAGTAATTTGCATAGTTTAACATTTTAGAGTCTTGTTATGTTTTAAATAATTATTTTAATATTGTAAATTAATTTTAATAACATTAAAACTATGAGAAATTTACCTAAATAGGACTAAAATATAATGACTTTCCCAATATAGGACCATATATTTTTATTTCCTAATGTAGGACCTTTGGTCATTATCAAGTAGTCATTATTCAACTAAATGTCCATTGTTACTGAACATTAATCCTTTCACAAGGTCATTATTAAGTCGTAGTTAGGAAATAAAAAAGTTTAAGTCCTACATTAAAAAAGTCATTATGTTTTAGTCCTATTTAGTGCAAATTTCACTAAAACTATATATAGCACTACTGTTAGAAGAGAATGTTAAAAAATGAGTCATTCTTAATCAAACATGAGAGATAATACGAGAAAAAAAATTTAATACTCCGTGGTTGTGAGTATTAGTGAGATTATATAATTTACTTATCCCTATTATTTCATGCGTCTCAAATAAAATTCTTTGTTTACTATTACTCACTTTTTATAAGTATTTTTGTTACCCATATGATAAAATAACACTCTCTCCGTCCCTAAATTTTTTCATTTGGATTTTTATTGGATTTAGCGGAGAGCTATGATGCATAAGATAAGAATTACTAGCTGGAGTCAAAACGGTTTTCTAATAAAAAAGAGAAAGCGAGTTTGAGACAAAGAAAAAATAAAAGAAAAAGAATTCTAAGGACGGAGAGTATATTTATGTAATGATCTGTTTTGTAGAATTTTCAAAATAGTATACAAATATGTAAATTTTGTTTTTAATTTCACCTCAATTCACATATAAATTGAATTAAAAATAACTTCAATCAGACTACATAATCTAAAAAGATACTACCTCTTATCTATGTATTTGTCCAATTTGAATTTTTTAGTTAAACAAGACAAATTTTGAACCTCAATTAAATACGGAGTATATAATTTCACTTTCTTTGAAGAAACTTTTTACTTTTCAACAATTTTTTTTTAAAAATAATGAAGTAAACCTGTCAATAATTTTGTGGGAGGGAAAAAATCTAACTTAGACTAATTAGATGTTCCTAATAACGTACGCAGGGGGATCAAGAAGATGGCAAACAAGGTCTCCAACTTCTCCCATCTCATACAGAGGTTCACCTCCTCCTGCCTCCTCCAACCATTCCAAGTTGACCAGCTCTCTCTCGGCCGCGACGGAGTTGACTCCGACGATGACCTGGACGATGACGGCGACGAATACGACGACCAAGAAGATCAAGACCGGAATCTCTGCTGGGAGAACGGCGGCGGCAGGGAGTCGTCGAGAACAGAGAGGGTGATCGAGATGGAGATGATCATGGGGGAGGTCTTCGACGCCGTCCTGGCGATGAAGAGCGCCTACGTTAGCCTCCAGGAGGCGCACTGCCCTTGGGATGCCGACAAGATGAGCGTCGCCAACGTGGCCGTGGTGTCGGAGCTCCGGCGGCTGGCGAACCTCAGGGATAGGTTTTGGCGGGTCGCCGGCGGCGGAAAGGGCCGCTGCAGAGTCGGGGCGGCGACGCTGAGGGAGGTGGTCGCTCCGTACGAGACGGCGGTGGACGAACTGAGGGGAAAGCTGAAGGCTAAAGATGCAGAGCTTGGAATTCTGAAGGAGAAGCTCAAAACGACGGCGTCTCATGCCAGCTGCGGAAGGAAAGTTACTAGCAAGTCCAAACGGAAAGTCAGCTGCACCACTCAAACGCAAGGTAAATTGATGAAATTTGTGAGGGTATTTTCGTCTTATAGTTCAAAAATTAAAATTTTCAATTTCCCGATGACAGTTACGATGTCGCCGGCGCCGGATCTTTTCGAGAGCACGATGAGCTTGGTCAAACAAGCGTCGAAATCCTTCACGGGTTCGCTTCTCTCCCTGATGAGGTCGGCGAACTGGGACATCACGGCGGCGGTGAGATCCATCGAAGCGGCGTACTCCGCCGCGGTGCCGACCGCCGTCACGGCGGTGGACTCGATAGTCGGGACAAATCACGCGAAGTACGCCCTGGAATCGTACGTGAACCGGAAGATGTTCCAGTTCTTCGACAATGAGACGTTCAACATGGACGGCGGCGGCGGCGGCCGGTTCAGCACCGTCTTCCACCCGGACCAGCACCGCCGGGACTGTTTCTCGCAGTACCGGGACATGAGCGGTCTGAACCCGGTCGACCTTTTGGGAGTCCTCCCGACCTGCAATTTCGGGAATTTCTGCTTCAAAAAGTACTTATCACTAGTGCACCCAAAGATGGAGGAGTCGTTGTTCGGAGACTTGGAGCAGCGGCGGGAGGTTCTCGCCGGAAAGCACCCGAGGAGTCAATTCTACGGCGAGTTTGTGGGGCTGGCCAAGGCGGTTTGGCTGCTGCACTTGCTGGCGTTTTCACTCGAACCGCCGCCGAGTCACTTCGAGGCGAACCGGGGATCCAAGTACCACGCGCAGTACATGGAGAGCGTGGTCAAGTGCTCAAGTGGGCTCGGAGGGAGACTTGGAATGGGCCTCGTTGTTGGGTTTCCGGTTAGCCCGGGGTTTAAGCTTGCTAATGGGTCTGTTGTTAAGACCCGAGTTTATCTTCTTCCCAATTATGAGCTTTAAGTTTGTGGGCTTATTTCTTGCAGTGTTTCATCATATGTTAATAAACCAATAAATGTGTTTCTATATTTCAAAAAAAATTATAAATAAATGTGGTTTGCAAAATGAAATGCATGTTGTAATTACATTAATATGTAATATTCTCTCTATTTTTTAATTTCTTTTTGGTTTGATTTGGGATGATTTTTAATAAAGTACTTTGTATAATTTTTATAGTTGTAGTTTGTGTAGTGACTATTGAACAAATTAATAATATGAGTCATTCAGTGTTTTTCTTAAAAAGAAAAAGGAAGAAAATTTTGAAAAAAACTAAATAAAAATTAGGAAGGTAATTATGTGACTAAAGGAGTATCACGTTATATATTCTTCTTAAATTACCAATCTTTGTCCATTTGTATTCATTTGATTTGATATTACTCTTTTCTTTAAAAGTTCTCATGTGGCTTATCCCTCCCCTCTACCCAAAATTATTTGTTATCGCACTTTCTTTGTTGTCCATCCTAAAAACCCTATAAGAAAGGATTATATACTTCATATTTTTATTCTCTTATAAATAAAGATCAACCGCATACTTTCTAATTTCTTCTTTTGCATGCTAATATTAGTTTGAATTTTTAATTATGATGAAAGTACAATTCATTTTTAAATAAAAAATGATGGTTAAACTATAGAAAAATTATACAAGTATCTGAAATTTGACAATGTTTGTTTAGAGTTCAGACTTCAAAGTATAGAATACTAGTAACAATAACACAGCATGAAATGACTTATACTCCCTCCGTCCTATAATGATCTTCCCAGAGCACTATTCCAACTTCACGGGAATTTACATTTATTTGTGTTTTTTCATGGCCTATATAATAAAATAAAATATTCTTGTCACCACTTGTTTTGTTGAACTTTTGGTGTAGTTTTTAAATATGTATGTTTTATTTTTTATTTTTATACCAATATTTAAATAAAATAGATTGAAAAAACTTGGAATTTTTCTTCGTTTTGCGAACCGAGAAGATCATTATAGGACGGAGGGAGTACATGATTACATTTATCAATATTGCAGTATTTAAATGCAATAATTAATGCAGTTGGGAAATCACTACCAACTGAAACAATAACCCTATTATTCCATGACATATACTCTCTTCATTGAGAGAATATATCCCATCTTTCTTCTTCCATTCACTCATGTTGTCAGCCCGAACCCGAAAGGAAACAACGGGTCTACGGGCTCCGTCCGAGCATGGACGGGCAGTTGATCAACGCTTCTAAACCATGTCATGGGCAGTTTGCCTTGGAACGCAAAGTCCCCAAAGAGAACGTCCGTTATACCATTTCCTTCACTTCCGGGCAACCAAGCAGCAACCAGGGACTCAACCTTGTCCAATACCTCCGGTTCTATGACCATGGGCCTACCCGAGACCAGAACCATGACCGTCGGGATCCGGTCCGCAACAATGCTCACTATCTCCAGACCGTTCAGTGGGATTTTGAGGTGCGGGTCGTCTCCACCGGTCTCAACATACGGTGTCTCCCCAACAGCCACAATGGCAAATGAGAAATCTTGAGCGGCGATGGTTTCTGGCAAAGGGTTTGGCTCAAACACTATTTCTGTCTCATCTCCCACCACTTCTTTTATCGCGTCCAAAATGGTCGTCCCTGTGATGAGAGTAATGGATTAATAAGGCGATTGGATTCAATCTTTTACTGTGATTTGACTGACTAAGTGCGGTTTTTCATTCGAATTTTATAAAGTGACCTCAACTCAAAAACAAAACTCACCAATGGTGATTTTGCCACTAGAACCAGTCCAAGAGGAAGTCCAGCCTCCACACTGGTAGCCAAGGTCATCAGCATGGGTACCTGCAACAAGGATCTTTTTGGCATTCTTGTCCAAGGGAAGAAATGGTTTGTTGTGGCTCTTCCCATTCTTCAATAGAACCAACGATTTGCGCACCGCTTCCCGCGCTACCTCTCTGTGTTCCTATTCACAATTTTTGGCAAAACCAATCTCAGTGATCCGACTTATTAACGGGTTCATTCATTCATATTTGGTCACATGTAAAGAGGGGATTTGATTTAATACCTTACACCCAACCACATGTAACAAAGATCTATCAGCATAAGGATGCTCGAAAATTCCGGAGACGAATTTGACCCTGAGGATTCTTTCGACTGCGTCGTCAATCCTGGCCATGGGAATCTCCCCTGATTCTGCCAAAGACAACAGCTCATCCAGATATAACTCAAACCTGAAAGGCACCATAACCTGCAAAAAAACACAAACAGGATTATGATGAGGTTAATATAGACATTTTTAAATTAGGCTGTCTATGACAATGATGCTCTCAATTTCAATTTCTACCATGTCTATTCCAGCATTGATTGAGGATAATATGCATTCGCGATAATTCGATCCGTGAGGGTTACTTAGCCTATCCAGCGCTTCCCAATCCGATATCACAAAACCCTACAAAGGAATTCGTTCATTCATATTTGGCAAGTATAAATTTAACAAGACAATCGGTTTGATTCAATTCAAACAGATGCAAATGTATGATTTTACCTTGAACCCGAGTTTTTCTTTCAGAATCTCTGTGAGAAGGTGATAGTCGGTGTGCATTTTGCTGCCATTCCAGCTGGAGTAGGATGCCATGACAGTGCAAACTCCTTGGGACAAACAGTCCAGATATGGTGCCAAGTGATCATTCATCAGTTCGTCATACGATGTTAGGGTATTCCCTTCGTTTATTCCTTTTTCAGTCCCCCCATCCCCTACGTAATGCTTCGCGCACGCCACAACTTTATTTCTGGACAAGACAGTTAAAAAAAATTGTCATAAAAGGTCGTGTAACTCTATTACTATGAGGCCCTTTCGGAGGTGCCCAAGACCAAAAAAGGCCATTTTAGTGGAATAAGAGAAGTAAAGGGTTGTTGTTGTTGTGTCAACCTGTCAGCAACAAAAGGGTAGCCCTTGGCATGTCCTTGGGGAACCTGCCCTTGCAAGCCTGTGACAAGTGAGCTTAGCTTTCTAACAACCTCTGTGCTTTCACCATAACTCTCATAGCATCTTCCCCACCTAGGATCTCTGCTGACCTGTTATCCACCATGGTCCCAAAACATGAAAACAAGGTTCCCGTTTGAATTTGCGATGTTTGACTGAAACTAATTTCAACTCAATATATATGAAAATTTGGGTGTGTTAAAAAAATTACATATTTAAAAAACTACATCAAAATTTATAATGCATGGGACAGGTACTGGAGTAGAGAAAGAAGATAAGACTTACAGCCACACAAGGAGCAAAAGCAAACTGAGCTCCACTTGCCCTAACTTCAAGAGCTGTTGCTTCCCCTATCCTTCTCACTAAATCTTCATCCCTGCATTTCATATAGGCTAATCATTTTTCAGATTTTAAATTCTCAATGCAATAAACCAGAAATTTTATGTCATGTTTGGGAACTTGAATGTGGATATCAAAGTCGTACTTGACTCGACTTCTATGTTTGGGAGTCTTGGAAATTTGGATTTGGATTTGTGTCAAATTCATCAAATTCATAACAAAACTCAATTAGAAACTATATATACTTCCCATTTTCATTTGAAATTCAAGAATTCATGTTATGGAATTTGAATAAAATGATAGTATCCAAACACTGCCTTAAGGCATTGTGTGTCTAGTTGTTTTCTTATGGACAGATTCAATTCAGTCTAGCCAGGTTCAACTCAATTCAACATTTTCAAGCCAAAATTACAACTTCCAAATGTCTTTACAATTCAGCTAAATTAAGTCCAATTTAATCCAGTTCAGTAAATTTCTATTGAAAAGAACAGATTCATCATCTTCACCATGAAGGAGGTCAGTGTATACCTAGTAGCTCCAAGCCCAATATTGTGGGGGAAAATGGTGGCGCCGTAAACATTATTGTTCCCATGTACGGCGTCGATCCCGTAGAGGATGGGAATGCCTAACCGGGTCTCCATCGCCGCCTTCTGGAATCTGTCGATCATGTCGGCCCATTCCTCCGACGCCGCATTCTCCGACGGTTTACTCCCACCTCCGCTCAACAAACTCCCTGCAGCAATAAAAATCCGGCGATTATATGGAAACGGAAAGTAGAGTCAACAGTACGGAAATAGAAACGATCGACGGGGTACTGTACCTATGAAACGGCCGGTGACAGCGGAGGGAGTGGCGACGGCGCGTTCGATCTGAGTCATCTGCCCGATTTTCTCCGTGAGAGTCATCCTTGATAGAAGGTCTTTGACTCTCTCCTCGACGGGGGCATTTGGGTCTTTGTACAAGCCACCGGCCGTCATTCTTCCTCTCCCCGTAGCTCCGATCTGGCTCGCCGGAGGTACAGAATTGCGTCTGTAACTTCTGATGAGAGGAAGCCGGAAGGTGGGGAGGAGAGTCAAAGGCAGGGGCATGGAGACGACGAAGAGTGAGCTGATCTGGCAGCTTTATAGGGCGCGCTTTGTGCGGGACCCGCTCTTTTCTGCGCTGACGTGGAGGAATACTCAATAATTGATTATGAATAAAACAGAATTTAAAAATTTTCTTTGTTCTACACTTCTACTTGCAAAAAATTTAGAAAAAAGAAAACATTTCAAAATGAGACTACCTAATTGATTGAAAATATTTTATTAGTTACATTTTATATTCATTAAACGAATAATAAAATAAGTAGAAAAAAAGATAGGGAGTATTGAACATTTAAATAATAAAATACTTTGTATAATTTTTTGTGAGGGAGAATTAAAAATACACAATTGGCAAGATGATAAAGAAAATGTATTTGTACCATTAGAAGATGGATATGATAGGATTAAATACAAATAATCGCTAAATTTGTCATCTCTCAAAGGTTCATTAATGAAGTGAAATGAATCCGGAGTGCAGTTGGGCTTTTGAATTTTGTTAACTTTAAAAATAGATGTTTGTACTAAATGAGTTTTATTTTCTAAATTTGGATGATTAAAACCAAAATATCTATCTAAGTTATTAAGGGTCCATTTGGTGAGTTTTGAAAATTTGATAAGAAATGATTTATGAAATCTAGGAAAAATAATATGGGTTTTGAAATCTGAAACAGATCATTTATTTGAAAATATTTAAAATCATGATTTAATCAGTAATAAGCATGGGCAACCGACTACGAGGGTGGTTGACAATGCATGACAATGGTAGCCGGTAATGGAGAATGATCAATAGTAGAGAAAGATATCAAATGTCCATATTGATATCTCTCAAATTTGAGAGATATCGAAACTCTCTATTTGCAGTTCAAAAATATTTATCTTTTTAATTAAATAAATAATTCAAAAATGAATTTAATTAAAATATTAAATGAGGCTACCAAATGATTTGTTTCTAATTAGTGTAAAAAATGTTCACACCTTTTGATCCCATATATTATTCTTCCAAAAAAATATTTAATGATTTATTCGGTTACTAATTACATTATAAAACTTTTCAAAGACAAAAAAAATGCACCTTAAAAATAATGAGTAATTTTGATACTATTTTCTGATTATAACTCATCTCTGTTGCATGCCACAATCCACTGTGGGCCTTAGGTCTATCATAGACCTATATATGAGCAAAATAAGTATTTTCTACTACTTAAATAAGTATTTTTTAAATAAAAAAATATGTGAAAAATCTATAAAAATGATATGCACCCAAGGTGCAGTAAAGAAACACTCATCAAATTACTTATTTTTAAGGCGGATGCTTTTTTGTCTTTGAAAAAATCTATAGAATGGAAGATATATTGAAAACAGAAAATCATCCCTTTTATTTGGAAAAGTCAGCATTAATGTCATTGGACCATAAGATCTTTGAAGTTATGTGTTTTTAGTGTGAGAGCATATCCCATCTTTTTAATTACTACGGAGTGCCATTTGCCCAAATCATATGTAGAAGGAACAAACTAGGAGTAAAACATATGTTATATCTCTAAAATAGGATTTCAAATTTAAATTCCTCTAAATATGAGTAAACTTAATTAATAAAACAAAAAAATGATCTCGAGTCCCCACTCGCTGCATTTGCCGCCCTTTTTAGCAGTGTTATTATTCTTTCTCAATGCATGGCTGCCTTTTTAATATCACATGAAAGTTAATGTTAACCACATAAATAAAACAACTTGCTTTTAGGTGTAGGGGTGGGGCATATTAGTTACCCTATAATCTCCATATAAAGCCATTTTTTGTAATTTAACTATAAAGGAGATAATTACGGAAGGATAGCGACGCCCACTACCGCAATTGTCCTCAACGGTGATGCCCTCCGTTGCCATCGTCGTCGCTGCATACCTGTCACTATGACTTGAACCTCCATCACCGTTGTCCTTTGCTCCGCCCCACCGCACTGCTAGAAACGAAACTTACCATTGACGCTTTTTATTTTTTATCGTCACCATCGACGACATCAATCACATCACCGCCCTATACCATAATCAACAACACGACCATCACAATCCGCAGCAATACAGTGTCAAAGAAAGACATAATGTCAAACATGACACCATATAATGTCACATATGACAATATATAATACCATAGATGCCCATATATAATGCCACATATGCTCATATATAATGTCACAATGTTACACAATGACATAATGTCAAACCAAATTCAATGCCCTCCACGATTGCCAGTGAGAATTTTGAACTAAATAGAATTCAATTAAAGATCGAGAGAGAAAATGCTCACTTTTGGAATCATGCTTTAAGGAAGAGAGATGGGGGTGGGTAGCAGCGTGACACAAGTCCGGCGATGAATCTAAGAGGGGTGGGGTGCATGACACAGTTGATCATGTTACTTTAACTTCTCATTCATCGCCTTTTCCACTGTATTTTATTAATTATTTTCAAAAATTTTTTTGAAGAAGACAGAGAAAATGAAACCCCGCATTAATAAAAAATTTGCAAAACATATTCTTTATATTAAAAAGTAATAGAATTTGTGTGATTATAGTTTTAAAAAATAATGTTGACCATAAAATCTTTATTTTAAAAAGATTTTAAAAAATGAAAGAAAATATCATGACAAACCAAATTGGAACTAAAATTTAGTACCTTGGTATGGGTCATTGCCTTCTTACTTTTATACATCTATAAATTGGAAAGATGTTCATAAACAAGGAAATTAATTAATCACAATAATATATAATTAAGGTAAATATAAATCTGTAGAAATGGGGTTTTTCTAAAAAAAATTAATATATATACTTGGAGGTGACTCTTGACATGAGCTATGCTAAGGCCTTTGATGTTCATGAATTGAAGAACAATCTTTAGTGTGGCTCCTATAACAATAATAAAAACACACACACAGCTATAAAAAAGGATGGTAGCCCATTTGCGTCTATTCATATTATATTCTGTAATGAATATTATATTAAATTATAATTTCTATTTCTTCCATGCTCTTTGTATGGTCAAGAAGGATATCATCATCATCACTCATTACATATTTAATTACTCCTATTTAGAGGAGTTTAAGTTTGAACTCCTAGTACGAGGATATGACATATGACATATGTTTTACTCCTATTTAGGAGGTTTTCTTATTTTTCAAACTTTAATTGCCTGCTAATCGATCACTAATAAGCTTGCACTGAAACATCTACGAGCATTATATTCATTAATAATTTAAAACTCCATCGAACTGTTCTTAGAATTTTAAAATTTAGGCCAATTGGATTGTGCTATTTCCAAGAAAGAGGAACTGATTGGAGCAAATTGGCCATGTGCAATTGCATGAATAAAATAAATAAATCCAAAATTATAATTGCACTTCAAATAATTTACAAAATCTCATCAATTTTAAAATTATTTTATTTATGATTTGGTATATAAATAAAAAAAATACAAATTACATATTTAAAACGCATAAAAAATTCTACAAAACAAGATATGTCAAGTATAATTTATTTAATCATATCATCAATGAAAATACACAAACAAAAAAAATTATCAAAATACTAAAATACTCCGGGTGCATCCTACTCATGAGGACACAACATGAGGGTCAACAACTCTCAGCCTACTTTCTTTAATGACATTTTATGAAAAAGTAAGGTGAAAGTTGAGATCATATACTGTTAGAATGAACATATCTTAATTTATTTAATAAGGAGATCATAGATCATAAATTGTTTTAAATAGCAATCTCATGTGACTAGCAAGTGATAAATAAAGATGTGATTATTTTGATTGATTACAACGAGTATGTGCCAAATCACAATAAGTGTGTTATGCGAGAGTGGCATGAAGGAGGGTGAGGGTGATCAAAGCTCATTGGAATGTCCCATAACGTAACACATATTATCTCTGTCCCAGAATATTTATTTATTTCTGAATTTTTGTAGTTAGAATTGATAAATTTGTATTTTAATTAAATAAAAGTTAAACTAGGTATTGACACAAAAATTATTTGTTAAATTTATCTTGTAAAATATATTCAAAATATTATTTATCCAATTAATATAACATATAATATTCAATTAACTATTGGTCAAATGTCAATCATGATTGACTGCGAAAACTCAAATAATCCGTAAAAGGTACTTCTTTCGTCCTAAAATGTAAGCAACAGTTACCATTTTGGCTTCTCGATAACTTTGGTTTGTTTATTCATTTTGGTTGACCATTTAATAAAATAAAATATTCTTGTCGTATCTTATTTTGTAAAACTCTTGATCTATCTTTGAACGGTGTAAAATTTATTTTTTATTTCTCTACCAATTTGTAAATAAAATAATTCTAAAAGAAATGATATTTTACACAGCGTTCGAAATATTACTTAAATTTTGGAAGGGAGAGACTAATTGTTAAGAATCCCACTTTCATTTTAGAGTTTCTGTTTTCAACTAACTCCCGACATGAGTACGCATATGAGGGATTCCCCTCCATACTTTGGGATCCACTAGAGGAGTGGTCTCTTCAACTTGTTCCCGGCCTTATCATACTTCTTTCATTTACTCCCTCTTATTGGCTTTGTTTGGAAATATCATTTTCCATTAGCGTTGGCTTTTTAGATAAAATTTAATGTTATAGATTAATTAATGGTTGGACCTAGCTTACAAGATATATTTTGGAAAAGATCATGAATAAAGCTGATAATGCTGTAATCTACTCTTCTTTTCAATGTTCTTTACATTCATTAGAGCTAACATTAGTTCAAAATGTGTTACAATTTACAACAAAATTGAAGCCAAATAGACAAGGCTTTCACTGCTTATATACTTCTTAAAAAAAAAGAAGAAAAACCTAATACCAAATGCATAAAACTTTGTTAAGAATCAATCTTGAAGGTTAGTTTTACTATACCCACATTCACAAGGCAAAATGTAATTGCTTCATTAGCCTCCAGGTTCTGATGCTGTCTTTCAAGAACTCATTGTCTTTACTTTTTTACCCTTCCTCCTGAACCACTAAACCGTTCCTATGACTTTTTGTGCTTGTTTCCACATGGGATTCGTCGCGATCATATGATTCAAGATTAAGGGCAGGCTTCTCCGATTCGGACAGCCTTTCAGTCTCTTCTTTATCAGAGTCCATCTTCAACAAGTGATCATCTGATTCCAAATAATGGGTGATAATCTCTGGTTTGGACAGTCTTTCGGTCTCTAGACTCTCTTCAAAAGAATCTGCATTACAAACTTGTTGAACATCAGCTTGTTGAACCCCAGGTTCTGGCGAGAACGACCTTTCAAGGTCACCCGGACCCTCACTAGCTTCAAAAATGTCTGAATCTGCACCTTGCTTGTCAAGACTGTTAGATTTAAAGGGCTCAAAAATGTCGTTTTCTTCCTCCAAGGAAGAAGAGGTCCCATCAACGGATCTTGGAGGTGACCCGAGTTCAGAAACCTCCACCTGTAAGTCAGAAGCAATGGAATGGCTTGGAGTGGGGAACTTGGCAAAAGTGGCAAAAAAGTAATTCTCATCCATTCGGGCCTTCTGGTTTCTTGGAGCTGGAGGCGTAGCAAGGGACTTCAAGATTGCGTCTTTATCAATTCTGTAAAAGGCCTCATCTTCCGATTCTGCAGAAGAAGATGAAGATGATGATGATGAAGTCGCCATGTCAGTATCTTCAATGAGTACTGATTTTATTTGAACTTCTCCGTTGTCTTCCTCGCACCTGGTAGTAGAGACTGCTTCCTTCACATCGCTGGTACTCGCATCGTTCAACTTCTCTGGTTCTTCGAGTGGCTCTTGCTCTATTAGTTTATTATCACCACTTCCCTTACCTGCTAGGAGAAGTGTCAAGTTCAATACAATGACACCAAGCATAAGATTGACACCACTGTTTCTTACACACATGTACAGACACTCATTATATATAGCTGCATCATCTGCACAGACAGTCATCATATGTAGAATGTCTCAAAGACACATTGGTGTCATCAATGGTGTCCTATTCTGGTGTTAAAATGCCATTTTCCTAAAAGATATGCAATGCAAGGGCTAGCGCCAAGGCATGGATTGTTAGAAGAGTGTTTTTTTGCTTACCATATGGAGTTGTTGATTTATAATTCTCAGAAGCTTCAAAAACTTTATGGAGATGAAGATCATCATCAGAGTTGAAGTCTGCAAAGAAAGAGCTAGCACTAGCAGCACCCAGAGTGAAGCTCTCATGCCTGCAGAACACGAAATCTTGATGAGGAACCATGAAGTCCTGCTGGAAGCTGCCTCCGCTGAGATTCGGCTTCTCTTCGTGCTGATCATAGGGCAGGTCGAAGGGGTTGCGGTTGGGCAGCATGACCGAGGGAGCGGACCCGGGTGCCCCGCTGCCCGGAGAAAACAGACCGCCATTGGATGAACCGGAGGAATTGGTTCTTGGGATCACAACGGAAATGGGAGGGTCGTCGCTTCCCAGATTCATCAATGTCCTCCTCACATGAATGCTCACCAGTCTCCTTGCTCTCCTTCTTGCCATCAAACTCTCTAGCCTCTTGTTCCTTTCCATCTCAGAGAGATCCATTGGGTTTTTCTTCTGATCATGATCCCAAGCCGTCGTCGTCGTCCATTGCACGCCGCCACCCTTACTCCTCCTACCCCATTCTTCCTGGCTCTTCTCCGAGTCATCGCCGCTACTCCTCCTAAAACTATCAGCAGGCTTCACCTGCAAATCCCCTCCTTGAACCTCCACCACTTCTCTGATATCCTTCATGTGATCATCCTCTTCATCCTCTTCTTTTTCTTCTTCTTCTGTCAGGGAACTTTTGTCAAACACGCGGTGTTCATCGCAGAAACCCGGCGGCAGAAAAATGGGGACGCCTTCTTCCTCAACATATGGCTGGAAATCCTTCTTTGATCTCCTCCGCCTGACCGACCTAGCACGGCCGACGAATTTCTTCTTCTTCTTCCCAACTTCCTCCTCCGCGATGTCCACCCTGTTCTCCGTTCTGGCGTCATCGCCGGTGCCGGGGCGGTAAATGGCTAAAACGACGACGCCGGAGATGAGGAACAGAGGGAATGAATAAATCAAGAACCAGAAGAGGGAGGAGAAGAAGAGATAGAAGATGATGAAGATCAAGAAAACAAGTGAATGCAATGGATGTTCCATCACAAAACCGAAGCATAATCTCGTCGAGAATTCCAGAAAAATCCATAGACAGGTCCGGAAATCCTCCGAAGAGATTCCCATTTTGCAGATTAAATATGAAGAAATTAAGAAGCTAATCGATCTACGTTATATTTGTTGGGGAAGCACGGAACAAAACACAACGAAAGCCTATACTCCAAAAATCCAAAAATCAGCACCACCACCACAAATAGATAGCAACGGAAATAAGATAAAGAACACACGATTTACGTGGAAACCCCAAATCGGGGAGAAAACCACGGCCGCTCAACAACGACACCCAAACTTCCACTAATCACCAAGAACCAAGTGGGTACAACAAGTTCTCCTCTCTAGTAAACACTAGAGGCATACACAATCATCAAGGAGCAACCTTGGAACAACAACAATCAACAATTCAACATAAAATGGAGTAAAAACTCTCAAAAACGCAGGTCTGAAAATGCAGCTAGAAAACAGCCTTCCGGGCATCAAAATGAGAATCTAACCGTTGGATTTGAAGAGGAGTATGTGAGGAACAACATACTAAAATTTGAGCACGATCCGACTTTGTTTGGCCTTCGATCCGGAGGTGAAAAATTGCTGCTGTAGAGAGTGGCGGAAATCTTCTTTTTCTTCCTCTTTCCTGCGTTTAGCTACTGCCAGCCCTCACTTCTTCCTTTTTTTTCTCCCTTATCTTCTCTCTTTTTTCTTTAGTTAGTAGCCACACACAACACAAGAGAATGGGCCACTAAAAAAAACAATTGGGCTAAAACTTTACACACAAAAATAAGCCCAAATATAAGAGAGAAATTTAAAGTGTTGTCCAATTAAAATTGGACACTTCCTCCATGTAGGAGGGATATTTCCCAACAA